GGTGCGCGGGTGGGGGGGCGGGGGGCCTTGTCTTGGGCGGGGGGCGTCCAGCTCTCAGCCTTCCGGGGTGCAGGGGGGGGCCTTAGCTACACCCACATCCCCCCCCAAAAAACCACCCTTCCCTGGAGGGCAAAGCACAACACCGGCCTCCGTCCCAATGGGCGCCCAAGAAGCAAGCTGCGCGGGCACATGCCCCCTCCTCCGCCTTTGCAGCGCCGGCTCGCCCCCCCAGTCTGGCAACAGCCCGCCCCCGCCACCATCTGGCCAAGGAGCGGGGAGGCTGTGCGGGTGGGGGGAGCGGAGCCGCCTCCCAAGCCCGGATTTGCGGAGAGCCGCCGCTGGTGCGCACAAGACGCTCCGTCCGGGGCCTTTGCAGAAGCCGGGTGGGGGGGGGGGGCGCAGAGGCTTTCGCTTTGCACAGAGGCAAGCCAGATCCGAGCCTTGGGTGGCTGCATCGCCCCTGCAGCCTGGCTGGAAATCAACGCCATTCTCTCTGTTCTGAACCCACTCACCTCCCCTGGGTCAAAGGCGTGCTTGGGGCCAAGGTGAACCGGATCCAGCTCCGGGTCTCTGGAAAGGGAAACCCGCACGGCTTTGGCTCCTCCTCCGGTTGACGGACAGCTGCGGTTTTAAAAAAAAAGTTTACGGTTCACAGTTGCACAAATGCAAACTTGCTGAAGCGGGAGAGATTGAAGCGCCGTGGCTTTGAGATAACCGGGGGGGGGGAGGCTCGTCCAGTGGCTCCTTGAAAGACACCAGACGTTTATTCCGGGAGGGGGTTTCCGAGAGGCAGGGCTCACTTCATCGGGTGCATGACGGCTACAGCCACGAGGCCGGTGCCTTTACCGTAGGCAAACCATAAAGAATAACAATGATATTAAAGGTGGAAATGGTGAGAACTTACAAGGGGAAGCCAGTCTGAAACAATGCCTATCCAGGGCCGGCTCACTCACTAGGCGAACTAGGCGATTGCCCAGAGCAGCCGGCCCTTAGGGGCGCCAAGCTGCACCCGGCCTGTACTCTGCGAGTTTCTTGATTACTTGTTTTTCATTCTTCCTAAAATGCATTTATTTTTGAAAATTGGTGGGCGCATGGGGGGGGGGGCACCAGAAGGGATCCTCGCCTAGGGTGCAAAATAAGCTGGGGCCGGCCCTGTGCCTATCAAATTATTAGTAATTACTTCAGACTGGCCTCTGTCCACTCCTGGCCTCCTGAGGCTTGTGACTTTGAGCATCTGGGAGAGCTGGGTTCAAATTCCCACTCTAGCATGGAACCTTGCCAGGTTAGACTAACCTTGGGCCTGTCATTCTGTCTCAGCCTACTCTACCTCACCGGATGCTTGTTGTGTGGGGATAAAATGGAGCAGGGGGAGGACAATGTCATAAGATGCTACATATCTCCCCTGGAAAACTCATGCTGGGATAAATTTTGTGAATCTTTAAAGGTGCCACAGTTTTAGTGCGCAGCAATAGTCTAATACAGCTACTCCATTGGAACAACTGCTTTGAAATACAATTGCAAAGTGTGGGGGGGAGCTGTAAAAAAATTCCCAGCCTCTGTTTTTTCATAATACCAATTTTACAGTCCTACCTTGAAGGGTTGTCATAAAGGTTAATGTTAACTCAATGAGCAGGGCTGTATGTATTCCTTGTCTTTAAGATTACATGTTCAGAATAAATAGCAATATTGTCATTGTTACTTACTCCCTAGACCTTGTTAATGAGAAAGAGTAAACAATGCAGGCAATCTTCTACCTCATTGCTCAGTCTTGTTGGCATTTGTTGCAATAAAGCATTTGGCAAATTACATTTGCACTGTCTTATACAGATGGGTTTGTCAGCGTTGTCTATTCAGGCTGGCAGCGGCTCTCTAGGGTCTCAGGCAGAGGTCTTTCACATCACCTCCCAACTGGTCCTTTTAGCTAGAGATGTGGGGGATTGAATTTAGGGCCTTCTGCATGCCAGGCAGATGCTCTACCATTGAACCATTTGTCATTTTTATTCTCTTGTTAATATATTAATGTAATGAGGGTAGATTTTGCGGGTTACATTTTCAGCGAGACTTCAGCTTTAGTTAATGATATTTATTTAGGGTCATAACCTGATTAAAACATGTAGTTGATTAAGCATATGAGAGTTATCCAATTAATGTAGCATACATTTGTATAACTGTGCCTATGATTTTAAAAAACTAATTAAAAAACATTTCTTGCTTCTAAGTGACACATCCATTGGCTGGAGCATCAGCATTTTAAAAGAGCATCTCTCTTATTGAGGAGGGAATGCCTGCTTGAAGACCGAGCTTGCTGTTTGCATTTTTAATAAACACTTGTATTGAAAATAATTGACTGCCCCTTCCAAGTTTTCCAGAAGCCTGAATAATCCAATTTAGCCTGAGCTCCTCAGAGCTTGGAAGCTAAGCAGGGTCGGTCACAATCAGTATTTGGATGGGAGCAGGGCTGGCCCCAGCTTATTTTGCACCCTAGGCGAGGATCCCTTCTGGCGCCCCCCCCCCCCCCATGCACCCACCAATTTTCAAAAATAAATGCATTTTAGGAAGAATGAAAAACACAAGTAATCAAGAAACTCCCAGAGTACGGGGCCGGGTGCAGCTTGGCACCCCTAAGGGCCGGCCCACTCTAGGCGATTGCCTAGTTGGCCTAGTGAGTGAGCCGGCTCTGGATGGGAGACCACCAAGGGAGACAGGGGGTAACTATGCAGAGGAAGGCAATGGCAAACCTCCTTATCTCTAAAAGGACATCACAGGGTTGGAAAAAGTACAGAGGAGGGCAACCAAGATTATTAGGGGGGTGGAGCACCTTCCCTATGAGAAAAGGCGGAAGAATCTGGGACTTTTCAGTCTAGGAAATAGATCACTAAGTGGGGAGTGGGCATGATGGGGGTTTATAAAATTGTGTACTGTTAACACATAACTTTTTCTCCCTCTCCCAAAAGACTAGAACTTGATGGGCAGTGGATTCCGGACAGACAGAAGGAAATACTTCTTTACACGGAGAGTGATTAAAATGTGGAATCCGTTGCCAGAGGATATAGTGATGGCCACAGGCATCGACAGCTTTAAAAGGGGATTTGATGGAATCGTGCAGGAGAGGTCTGTCAGCGGCTACTAGCCCTGGTGACTAAAGGGAACCTCCAAGTTCAGAGACAGTCAGTCTCTGAATCTCAATGCCAGGACACAACATGAGGGGAAGGCCTCTATGCCCTGTTTTTTTGGCCCTCCAGAGAAAACTGGTCGGCCACTGTGTGAGACAGGAAGCTGGAATGGATGGACCACTGGTTGGAATCAACAGGGCTCTTCTAATGCCCTGTTGTTGGCCCTCCAGAGGAACTGGTCAGCTGTGTGAGACAAGATGCTGTGTGAGGCAGGATGCTGGACAAGATAGACCCTCGCTGGTCTGATCCAGCAGGGCTCTTCTGAGGTTCTAGTGAAGGCCTCGGCCTCTCTGCCCTGTTGTTGGACCTCCAGAGGAACTGGTTGGCTGCTGTGTGAGACAGGATGCTGGACTAGATGGACCACTGGTCTGATCCAGCAGGGCTCTTCTGATGTTCTTATGAAGGCCTCGGCCTCTCTGCCCCGTTGTTGGACCTCCAGAGGAACTGGTCGGCTGCTGTGTGAGACAGGATGCTGGACAAGATGGACCCTCACTGGTCTGATCCAGCAGGGCTCTTCTGAGGTTCTTATGAAGGCCTCGGCCTCTCTGCCCCGTTGTTGGACCTCCAGAGGAACTGGTTGGCCCCTGTGTGAGACAGGATGCTGGACAAGATGGACCCTCACTGGTCTGATCCAGCAGGGCTCTTCTGAGGTTCTAGTGAAGGCCTCGGCCTCTCTGCCCCGTTGTTGGACCTCCAGAGGAACTGGTCGGCTGCTGTGTGAGACAGGATGCTGGACCAGATGGACCCTCACTGGTCTGAGGGTCTGGCGTGATGTGGCCCATGGGGTCACAAAGTCGGACTCGACTGCGACTGAACAACAACAAGGTTTTTATATATTTTGGAACGAAATATGTGTACTTTGGTCCATACCTATTGATGTTTGTAACTTTTAGCCCTTTACTAGTTTTCTGAACTTCCTTTGCAGGTTTCTGCCCGTGTGTCGCACCAGCTCTCAGTGCCGCCTCCCCAACCATATGACAATGTTTCCGGTTATGATCCTGGCATCAGGTATTTTTCAAGCCAATTTGCCTTCTGAGTTAGCATTTGCTGAAGAATGAATGGTATGAAGAAGCTCTGGTCCCCAGCCAGGTTGAGCAGGTAGAACTAGGGTGGCCAGCTCCAGGTTGACAAAGTCCCAACATAGAAACATAGCGCTGGAAGGGGTCCCAAGGGTCATCTAGTCCAAACCCCCCCCCCGCTCAATGCGGGAAATTCACTGCTACCTTCCCTCCACCCTCCCAGTGGGCCCCGCTCCATGTCCAGAAGAGTGCAAAAAAGAAAAAAAACCTCTAGGATCCCCGGGCCAATCTGGCCTAGAGGAAAATTGCTTCCTGACCCCAGAGTGAACATAAGAACGTAAGAGAAGCCAGTGCTGGATCAAGCCAAAGGCCCATCCAGTCCATCACTCTGTGTCACACAGTGTCCAAAAATACCAGGTGCCATCAGGAGGTCCCCCAGTGGGGCCAGAACTCCAGAAGCCCTCCCACTGTTGCCGCCCCCCCAAACACCAAGAATACGGAGCATCCCTTGCCCCAGACCGAGAGTTCCTACATATACCTTGTGGCTAATAGCCACTGATGGACCTCTGCTCCATGTTTATCCAATCCCCTCTTGAAGCTGTCCCTGCTTGTAGCCGCCGCCACCTCCTGTGGCAGTGAATTCCACGTATGAGTCACTCTTTGAGTGAAGAAGGACTTCCTTTGATCCGTCCTAACCCGACGGCTCAGCGATTTCATGGAGTGCCCACGGGTTCTGGTATGGTGAGAAAGGGAGAAAAGGACCTCTTTCTCCACCTGCTCTATCCCATGCATAACCTTGTAAACCTCATAAGAACATAAGAGACGCCAATGTTGGATCAGGCCAAAGGCCCATCTAGTCCAACACTCTGTCACACAGTGGCCAGAAATACCAGGTGCCCTCAGGAGGTCCACTAGTGGGGCCAGGACATTAGAAGCCCTCCCACTGTTGGCCCCCCCAAGCACCAAGAAGACAGAGCATCCCTTGCCCCAGAGCCCCTATCTATACCTTGTGGGTAATAGCCACTAATGGACCTCTGCTCCATATGCCTATCTAATTCCCCCCTCGATCGTGTCATGGTCAGCATTACCCTGGGCGTATGAGAAAGAGCCACAAGAACGGAGTACTGGCTCATCCCTTCCTGCCCTCCCTCTCACGATCTGCCTAAATTCGTTTTGGGGTGGATCCTGGAGAGGTAAGGTCTGAGGCAGGGAGGGGCGTCACCAGGGTATAACCCCATAGGCTCCCCCCTCCAGAGCAGCCATTTTCCTTCCAGGGGGAACTGATCTTCGTCCTTTGGAAATCGGGTCTAGTACCAGGCGATCTCCGGGCCCCACATGGCGATTGGCAACCCTGGGTTGGAACTGTCCCCTCCGTGTTTCTCTCCTGCACCGC